GGACTTGCCAATCAACTATCCTTAAGTGTTTTGTGCCGAGGGATGCAAAGGTACAGTCGCTCAAACGTGCCACTTTCTCGAGGAATTTGCTTTTGGTTGTTCACACCCGCAGCTTCAATTTGCTGCAGTTGCCAGGCAAATGGCAGCCGAAGAAGTAGCTTTTGGCTTTTGAACACCCGTAGGCAGCACCCGGCCACTAAACAAAGATGGCAAATAAGTTCGAGTCAGTTTGAAAGTTTGCTTTGGAGTCTGGGCGAAACAGGTTGCCTTGAGTGTCACTCGCGCTCGGGGTAAGATTGGGAGGTAACTTCCACACCATCTCCTTCCCTGTCGCTCTTGCATGTCATGGTGTTGATGTCTGGGAAAAGCAACTGGCCATCAGGGATCCTTCAAGCAGCCACACCTAGGATACCCATTGAGGGAGACAGTTTCATGGCGGTCAGTGGGCAAATTGTGTGGTGAGTCCATGATTGAACGCTGTTCCGGTGGTCTCAAAGTGTTTGTATGGTAAGTTAACAATGATTAAAGTTGTTTGAAAGCTCCTTTATAGTAGCCGTGTGGTTTTAAGTTGTTGTGTCCGTGGCTTTATGGTGGGTTTAGCTTAACTTTAGTGTGGTCTTATTATTTGCCTTTAGCTTATAACGGTTGCAATGCCGGCAGCGTTGTGATCTTCTGGAGCAACCGCGTGCCATCCCCGTTTCTGCAAGAAAAACAAATGCCGCATGTGTCTTGGGTGGTCCAGCTCCCACGAGTTTTACGTGGGTTACCCCGGTTGGGTACGGAAAATTCCTGCCGCGGCGCCTGCCACGGGATCTTGTCGCTGGGCGGCTCCTGCGGAGCCATGGATGCGATGGCAACACCAAAGCTCAAAGAACTTCGCAGATGAGCTCTCAAACGGGAAACCTGGGCGTTTGTATCCTCTTGGGTTTTTAGAGGTGATTAGGAAATCAAGTAACTAATTAACTAATCAACTAACTAACTGATTGACCGATCAACCGATCGTTCGATTGACTGATTAACCAATCAGTTTGCCAACCAAACCAGGCCAAAGCCGATGCTAAGCAAAGAGCCGGTGCTAAGGAAAAAAAAACTCATTCCCCGCGAAAAGGAGCAAAACACGCAAAACAACGCACACACCAACAGTCCCAAGCATGCGCATACACCAGGCGACTCGCCCAAAGTTTCGACCCTCCTCCTTGGAGGCTTCCATCTCCTGCCATGATAAGCTGAAGCGGGCGCCCAACGGCCGTACCCGGGGGCAAACATGCACCGCTCTTTGCAGGACGATCGGGTGATTTGGTTTGGTTTCCGGCTTTTAGGTGTCTCAAAGCGGCCCCTCCCAGTGGCTTCCCTAAAGCAACCCAAACCTGGCAACAAAGCGGGATCGCACCCATTTCAGAAATCCCTGCAATTGCGATTGATCTTCAACATGGTTCCCAGCTGCACGCTCACACTTTAACCTTGCCTTTTGAACAAGCAGCGTTTAAAACAACCCAAGAGAGGGCCCCCCACACACAAAAACATAAAACACAAGCAACCACACCACACGCATTTTTTGCGCAGATGAATGCAACAGCCGTACACCAGGCAATCACACCGCAAACCTTGCACAGGTGGGTTGGCCGGAACAAAGGTGGAAGCTCTTTTCCGCCCCAGAATGATAGAAATGTAAGAGTCTGGCACCTCTTGCTTGGATGACTCTCAGTCCAGGGTATGGCCACAGCGACCCCACAGCAACCCCACACCTCAGAAAAAAGTTGGGTAGACGAGAGTCAGAGGTCTATCATGTGGAGGAAGGGCAGAAGAGCTTCCCCCAATAATCATCACCATTTGTCTGGCTTCCCCACAGGGGCATGGAACTAGACATGGAATTTCAGAGGGGTCAACTGTCAGGGGCCGGAGTGTTGCAGAACTGGGAATGTGACTTCAGTTCAGCTTAAACATGGATTCTTGCAAAGCGCTGGTACATCCCGCTGTGCGCGTCCAATACGGGTAGAAGAAACGCTTCCTGAAAAGAACAAAAAGGGAAACCCAAACCAATCTTCTACCCAAAGGCTCCAATTCGATTCATCTAGGGCCCGCAAACAGCCAGGCGTTGAGAAACCCAAACACCTCCAGGGTGTCCAATGGAGGGGTCGGGTCCAGGAGCCTCTGGCTATTGTTTTTTGATCTACTGGCTGCGCCGCCCCGCGAGCCTGGATTCTCCAAACCCGCCGCGCCTCCCCGGGCACAAGTTGCCTCACGAATGCAGCTTCGGGCGGCGAAGAAAAGTATCCCATTGAATTGGCCAAACAAGAAAAGCACACCCTCTGGTGCCGAGGAGGGAACGAAAGTCCATGCTCAATGAGACAAGCATCTCCGAATCAAGAAGCATGGTCGATTTTCTGTTGGTTCCTTCCTGAACCAAGCCTGGAAGCGGACGCACCTACCGGTTGACACATGACACAGTTTGGACGCAAACGCGCCTCTTTGGGCCTTTTTTTGCAAATGGTGAACCTCTTTCGGGCGATTTTAAAGCTCGGATCCCATGGATGGTACACAAAAGGCCTGGACAATGTGAACATGCCCTTGTTTTCCCTGTGCCACATCATGAACCATGAGTGCCCTTATTGTTCGCCTAGGTGGAATCATGAATAGGACTTCAAGCCCTTGGCTGTGTCCCTGTGAGCCACTAATCGTCGTGCCCCTTGCTGTGCCCCGTAGTTCAGGAACCATGCCCGTGCGGCATCCCTGGCATCCCTGGGTGGACACAAACATGAAAGGTTCTGGGTCATCAGGCTGAACAGATAAAACGGCGCTTTCAACAAAAGACAGCACCCCATGACATATTCCCCACCGGTTCGTCAAATGCCATTGAGCCAAAGACAACTAGTTAACTTGGACTCAAGGCTTCCGAACCTCAGACCGGGGTTGAATGGGAGACCGAGCACAAAGTCCGGCTTAAATCACTTGGAGGCAAAAAAAGTCGTGGCCAGAACTGCCTCACAAAACAAATGATCTGTCACCAATCCATGCGTTCCGAGACGCGGAACCCCAGCCTGCTTTGAGATGATTGGCTTTATTCGCTGGCATGCGCAGAACAAAGCCACTGGTTGAGGCCACCCTTCTGATTGGTGTAATGATGCCCACGTGATACTTTGAGTCTCAACCCCTCTTGAATTCAACAGGGACTCTGCGGCCGGGGGCGGGGGGAATCCCGGTATCAAAACATAGCTCGCGGGCACAGCTGACAGTGGCATCTCCAAGCTTCCCCGCGTGACTTCAGCCTCAAGCCGCGTTTCCAAGACCCTGTGTTCGAAAAAGCAGCTTCCCTGGCAACATCTTCCCAATTGCAATGATTCACCTGGAATTAAATATCCTAGACCATCTTCATGGATTCTCGCCTCTTTTATCCTGTGACCTTGATGCAATTCGATTGGTGGCAAACGAGCAAAGGATATCAGTTTGGATCCCCGAAGGCCAGACCTTAGCAGAATGGCTCCCCGCCACTTCAAGACGCCTTTTCACACGGCCAAAAGCCACCGGCCTACTCACTTCCCCATGGCCCATCCGTCGCCAAACGGTTCATCTCATATGACACTCACATACACTAAACTCCTAGAGAGGCCTGGTCTTCAGGTGTATAGATTGGCTCTTGGGCCATCGCGAAACGGCAAGCCAGCTTGGGGGCCATGAGTTGTATAACCCCGCCATAGATGATTTCTCTTTACCCACAAATGGGAACACGCAAAGGGTGCGGGCCTAAGAGGTGCCAAGTTCCACTACAGGCGGGGGGATCTGGGGTTGCAAAAAACTGACCGTTTTTTGCAGCCCCCTACTGAAAATGAAGAGAACCAACCAACTACAAAACCAACCAACCAACCAACCAACCAACCAACCAACCAACCAACCAACCAACCAACCAACCAACCAACCAACCAACCAACCAACCAACCAACCAACCAACCAACCCAAGAATAGTGAAGCCTTGACACTGGGACCACGGCCGGTGCGGGTTCTGGTGCGGGTGCGCCTGGCACTTGCCGAAAATAGCCACAGCCATAGCCACAGCCACGCAGGCTCCAAGAGGTAATAGGCGTATAGGCCCCTCAAGGGTTTCCCTGCTAAGACATGAGCGGATCCATCCATGTCTCAACAATCCGTGGACCACATCCAGTCATGATGTCTGAACCGCATCCAACTGGACAACCTTGATAGATGGCAGTAAACAGCGCGATTTCAAGTGGCCAAACATCTAGGTCGTGAATTCACCGGGGCCGAGCATTAGAATTGGCAACGGTATTCTTTTGGCTTCTCCCTGAACACTGTCCAAAAGGTCCCAAATCTTGAGAAAACCATTTTGAGGCAGGCGGCCCTTTGCAGCGCGGAGAAAATTGGCACGTCCAAACAAATACCTCCAAGGGAGAGCGATACATGTGTCCAATGTTGTCGAAGGGCAGCCCTGTTTGGGGACAAGCCCTTACGTGGCAAACAGTGGTCATTGCACTTCCCACTAAGCCATTCCACCAAAGTCAGGCAAACACTTATCAAAATATGAGTGGGTCCAATCGGCCTTACCAGCACCCCCGCCCAACAATTGCCTTTTCCCATGTTAAGTTACAACAACAACCAGCGGTTGGGACCTGGGTGCTGCTAGGCGCAATGCAGTGTCTATGGCTTCAACCCACACCACGGCTTCAGCATGAAGCCGTTTTTCTGGCGGCTTGGCCAATCCGCAACCCCCTCCTTCGTCACCCGGCGTTGGTTCTCGTACGAATCGTTGAAAACATTCGCATCTGGCTTTTCATCTCCCAGAGGCTCCCGATTTTGGGGACCTCAACCAGCCAGGTTTTGAGACCAAACACCTCCAGGTGTTTCATGGAAGGGTTGGGTCTTCCATTGCAAGCTCCAGGAGCCTCTGGGGTTGTTGCATCCCCTAACCCAAAAACGCGGGGTCTTATTGAAAGCCCAAGGAGCCTCTGGGGTTGTTGCCCCAGGAGCCTCTGGGGTTGTTACATCCCCTAACCCCGAAACGCGGTGTCTTCTTGAAAGCTCCAGGGGCCTCTGGGGTTGTTGCATCCCCTAACCCAAAAACGCGGGGTCTGATTGAAAGCCCCAAGAGCCTCTGGGGTTGTTGCATCCCCTAACCCAAAAACGCGGGGTCTTCTTGAAAGCCCCGGGAGCCTCTGGGGTTGTTGCATCCCCTAACCCCGAAACGCGGTGTCTTCTTGAAAGCTCCAGGGGCCTCTGGGGTTGTTGCATCCCCTAACCCCGAAACGCGGTGTCTTCTTGAAAGCTCCAGGGGCCTCTGGGGTTGTTGCATCCCCTAACCCAAAAACGCGGGGTCTTCTTGAAAGCCCCGGGAGCCTCTGGGGTTGTTGCATCCCCTAACCCAAAAACGCGGGGTCTTATTGAAAGCCCAAGGAGCCTCTTGGGGTTGTTGCATCCCCTAACCCAAAAAACGCGGGGTCTTATTGCAAGCCCCCAGGAGCCTCTGAGGTTGTTACATCCCCTAACCCATCACGCGGGGTCCTATTGAAAGCCCCAGGAGCTTCTGGGGTTGTTGCATCCCCTAACCCAAAAAGGCGGGGTCTTATTGAAAGCCCCAGGAGCCTCTGGGGTCGTTCGGGAAGCCAAACAAAACAAATGAAGCGCCCGCATCTCCGACCTCCAGGATATCCGCTCTCAGCGGTGGGCCCGGTGCCTACGAACAATAAGAAAAGTGTCTAGGGTCATGGAAAATGATTGAGTGGAACGGGAAGGGAAAACCAAACTAAACCTAGTGAAATATCGTGGAACCCATGTCTTGTTCAACCAAACTCGCCTCAAGAGGACTGGCTGGGGCTGCGATTCAAATGCTGGGCTTTTTCCCTATCTTTGTTCAAATGCAGTACTTTGGGCGGTCTCGCGTTGAGTTCTGTGGCAGGCGAAGCACTTTAGAGCACGCCTTTGCAACCATGGCGTACAGAAATTTCGTGGCATGCCGCGCGTGCACGTCCCACCAGATTTCCGCGGCAGGCGCAGTACTTCGGAGGGTCACATGCAGAATTCGTGGCAGGCACAGAGCTTTGAAGAACTGTGCGCTGATTTTGTGGCAGGTGCAGAAATTCGCGGGGTCTCGCGTCGAAATTCGTGTCAGGCGCTGCCTTTTGAGCATGGCGATTCGGCTGTAGCATAGTCCTTTGCATCGGGCGTTCCACTGCATGGCTTGAGAAACGGTTTCCGGAAGAAAGGAAGAACGAGGGAGAGAGATGGACAGAATGCGTATATGGGTAGATAGACAGATCGGTAGAAAGAAAGGTGGATAGACAGATAGGCAAGCAGATTGAGATTGGTGGACGGATAGACGAAAAGAAAGATGGACGACATACTGGCTGATTACCGTGACTGTGTTTTTGGATAACTAGACGTTGATGGACAGATGGAGAGACAGATAAATAGCCAGCTAGCTGTGAACGAACATGATGAGCAAATCGGCTGAAACACACTTCTTCTTTTTTTTGCGGATGGGTAGAGAAAGACAAATTCGATAGATAGGTAGAGATATACTTGGATGTATTGATAGAGAGCTAGCTGTGAACACAAATGGAAAAGCAAGTTTGTTGGCGAATAGATGGGTAGATGGATAGGGATAGGTAGATCGATAGATAAATGGATGGATACTAGACAGATGGATTGATAGATAGACAAGTGGAAGTATAGACAAATTTCACAAATAGGCAGGCAGACAGAATGACAACAGACGAACAGATAGAGAACAGATAGGAAGTGGATAGGTGGATTGGCAGGTAGATAGAACAACGCAGTACGCAGACAAGCAGACTGACGGTCAACAGGATAAGTAGATAGCACTGGCCCGGTAGATACATAGATAGATTGATTTATGAGCAGATAGACAAGCAGGTAGTGGAAAGATAGATTAGACAGAAAGCTTCACAAGCCGGTAGAGTAGGTAAAGAGAGATGCATAGGTAGATAGACATATCGTGGATAGCTAGATACATAGATAGATACATAGATAGATAGATTCTTAGATAGATTCTTAGATAGATTATTAGATGAATTGATTGATAATTAGATAGATAGATAGATAGAAAGATAGATAGATTAGGACATAGACGCTCCGGCTCCATTTTCTTTCCAGCAACAGCCGAAAAAAGCAGGAACTTCTCAGCGCAAAAGTACGAGCATCTCAGCCCTGCAGTACGATACGAGGTGATTGATGCGCGCTTTCCCCAGCCGATCGACAGCTGCAACTCTTCGCTTTGAAAGTAGTACCTGTTTCCTCCCGAAAAAAAAGAAAAGAACAAAAAACGAAGCCCAGTCCGAAAGTGTGCGAAGCTCGTTTTTCTTCAGCCCCGGCTCAAACAAGTCGCGAGCTATCAGTGCACAAGTAGCGCGCGAGGTGCGCTTTTCCTGCTCCGGCGCTACACATGAATGGATGCTAATGCAGATGGGTGGGTAGGTAAATCAATAATATATGAATGAATATGGATAAACACAGAGAGATATAGATAGATAGATAGGATAGGATAGGATAGGATAGAATAGGATAGGATAGGATACGATAGGAGAGGATAGAATAGATAGATAGATTAGATGAATAGATAGATAGATTAGATAGATAGATAGAGGGATAGATAGATGATAGATAGATAGATAGATAGATAGATAGATAGATAGATAGATAGATAGATAGATAGATAGATAGATAGATAGATAGATAGATAGATAGATAGATAGATAGATAGATAGATAGATAGATAGATAGATAGATAGATTAGGTAGGTAGGTAGATAGATAGATAGATAGGCAGGCAGACAGACAGATTAGATCAGATAGATAGCTAGCTAGCTAGATAGATAAATAGATTGGATAGACTAGATAGGTAGATAGATAGATGGGTAGATAGATAGATAGATAGGCAAGGTAGATAGATAGATAGGTAGATGGATTAGGTAGGTAGATAGATCGAAAGAGAGATAGATTGGATAGATAGCACTATAGACACATGATCTGATAGATATAGGCCCAAAGTGGTTGACGCAAAGCTATCCGTTTTTCCATCTATCTATCTATCTATCTATCTATCTGTCAATCTATCTATCTACCTATCCGACGATCGTTCTATCTGTGAATATAATCGGCCCATTCGTCGATTTAGTTTCTTCTCGATACTATTTGCCGGTTCTTCTATATGTTGCTTACTTATCTGCATGCCAAACTATCTACCTATCTGTCCAGTAAGTCATGGATTGCAGATGCGTAAATGGATAGACAGATGGGTAGATCAATAGATCGGTAGCTTTGGGCAGTTCATCCGCCTTGGGTTCGGTTCGTGGCTTCCATCAAGTTTATGGCTCGATTTTTCGGGTCTGCCATGTGTCTTTGTTTTGAGGGTGCACTCTGCACAAGCCACGGATTTTTCCTCTGGCTCATCGTCCATGCTCAGGTCAGATTGCGTGCCCGACCTCGGTAGGTCTGCCAACCCCCCCAAAACAAGCAGCTTCAAAAGCACCCTTGGGGGGTATATGTTTTTGAGTCCATCTGCATCCCGTTGCCTTACTGCAAGTTCAATGCTGAATCGCTCGGATTTCAATCCGTTTGTGTACTGCAGCGCGTGCGCCTTCACACAACATCTAAGGGTACCTTCTGTATTTTAGGTTTCATGTTATCTGCAGCGGAACATGCCCAGCATTCTTCCTGCAGGCTTGAGGGCCAGCATGGGAGCGGCAGTTCCAACATGGGACACCCGCCTCGTTTAATGGGTGCCCCAATGCGGCTTCGCAAGGCCTCCGGTCGCTTTTGGGGTACCCCTTTCTAGTTGGGGACCCCTGTCCCCGGTGCAACACAAAACCTATCCTCTTGCGCGTCCACAGCGTGATCTTCGCGCTCCAAAAGCACCAAAATGGTGAACGAGGTTCATACAGGCCGTACTGTCTGCACAAATTCCTACAATTCCTACAGAACTCCCCAGCTTCAAATCGCAGATTTCTTGGTAAAGGACGTTCATCACCGGTGAGCTTGCTTTGTCTCCCCAGGTGAGCTCACAAGGTTGACAATGTGCGCAGACAGTACGTTGGATTCCGCCCCGTGAAGAACCAGGCAACAGAAAAACCAGCACGGTTCTGGGCGCACCTTCAAGGCCCTGAAGGGTTGGCCCCGCCAAGAATCAGAGATTCCGGGGATCTAGGGGAGCTGACTGAATATAGCCCATGGGCTCGGCTTCGGAGCGACCCAGTTGCAACCCAGTTGCAACCATTGACCTTTTGGGAAAACATGGGTGGGGAGCCCAAGAAACGAAAGGGAAGTGTGCCACTGAACACTGGGACTGGGGACAAAGGAGCTTTGAAAGCTGCAAACTAGGACTAGGTGATTAACAGCCAGGGTTGCCTGAGTTTCACTGATGGGGCAAAGACCATTCCCTTGAACCCCGATATGAAACGTGTAAGCTTGCTTTCTTCACAAAGCTTGCTATGGTTGCAAAAACTGTGTCCTTTGCAGCCCCCTTACTAAAAATGAAAAGAACCAAAGAAATACCAATACAAACACATGCCGAGAACAGAGACGATTTGTTTCTGGGCAAAGGTGTCGGCTCCTTCGGGTGGACCCAGCACGCGCCGAGCCACTTCGCCCAGCGCTCGGCAGCAGCAAGGTCGCCCTGAGCAGTCGCCTACGCAAGACGCGGACATTGGACTCTCTGTGGGGGGAAAGAGCCACAAACAATACTTGCTGGTTCTCAGCGGGGAATGCGGGATGACCCCATTTTTGGCCATTTTCTATATTTTTCCATTAAGGAATTCCCCTTCCGGTTCATTCCCAACACCCGGAACGGTCATTCCCGATTGAGCACCAGGAATACTACAGGGTGAAACTAGATGGCACCATTTCCCCATTTGGTTTTGTCATCCCCTTTATTTACCCATATAAAGGGAGTCGTGGCTCACAGGGAATATAGTAGCGCCTTACTCCCGAGACATTGACATGGAATCCAAAACCGGGGTTCCCCAATCTCCTTTCTCTTCTAAGTGGTTTTGTGGGCGCCATGTTGACCTGTGGCGGGGCATGGAGTGGAAACCGAAGGCTCTATTGACAGTGCCAGCTTGGACACAACCTGACTGAGGCTCCCCCAAAATCAGCAGTCCATTAGGTGGCATGTGCAACTAACCACTTCAGCTCATATCTTTCCCAAGCCCCCCCCCCAAAAAAACAACAACAACAACAACAACATGTCAACGTTGCCAGTAATTAATGCATCTCGGGTTGCCCCGGTCAGTGGATGACAGGATTGACACCAAGGACGGGGGGGGGGCTGGCACGGCAGTCGGAGGGCGTCACCAACTTCAAAAACAGTTGGGGAAATATCAAAATGGGGTGCCCTGAGTTGTCCCAAACTGGACCCGCAAAAACTCGCTTGTTTCCTGCTGATTTCAGGTTCTTTGCGAAGCTTCACCATCGGCCGTCTCGCCTCCCCGCTCCACAAAACGCGCGAGAACCGCGCGGGAAGAAAAACAACTACGCCTTTCTCGAACGCCGAGAAAGAACCCAAGGGTCAAACGCCAATCACCAAGCCCTCGGAGCCCTCCAAAAATTCGTCCAGCCGCTTCGGTTTTTTTGTTTCCCTGGCCTCCGTTCAGCCGTTTTGGGGGCATGGGTGCAACCCTTGGCGAACAGTCTGAAGCGGACCGGGCTCTTTTTCAGGGGAGGAAGGCGGGAGTCGGCTGGGTGCTGACCTCAGTGTCCATTGAGTGGCACAAGGATACATTTGAAAGGGATGTAAAAAAAAAACAAAAACAAATGACTTACAAAGAACTCTCCTTCTGAATGAGCCGAATGGTCTGGGGCAACCGTATGAATCCCAAAATCCCAAGCGTGCATGGTGTTTTCCCACCAGTTGATTGGGCGGTTGGCCCAAAATCTTGTTTTTTCTACGCACACTCGGACTTCCCAGTCAGTTTTGACCCAACAACATCTTGGTGGTTGCCGCCCTCTCACCAAACCCTGGCAAAGCGCCTGGCGGATGACTGCTTGAAAGGCGCGCTTTGCCACCTGCCCAAAATTGAAAGGAGGCAGAAAGAGAGCACCGGCCCTCGTGTTTGGGCAGGGGTTTTGTTTGAGGGGATTGTTTGGTGGGCGGTTTGTTTTCTTGTTTGCTTTCTTGCTTCTGTTTGGCTGATTGATTTGCTTGCTGGGCTGGATGGGACACCCCCCACCTGCTAAAAGGCCCCTCACCATCAAGGTGCATCCTGGGCAACCCCCCCCCCCCTGGTGACAAATGGAAGGTCTTGAAAGCATATGTTTTGTAACATGTGCAACCTTTCGGCTTCCTTAGGAGGAAGGGTAACTAGGTCCTCCAGTAGAGAGGGTAGAATAAGGGTACCTTTTTTTTTCTTTCTCTATAGCCTATTCTAGTAGGGGAACCCTCCCCCCCCAAAAAAAGGCACTACTGGGGGGACCTAGGCCAAAAAAAAAAAAACTGTCTGTTTGGCGCCCAGGTGGCACGTTGCACATCAGCCTTTACGTTGCCATGGTGTGGCTCAAAACCTGGTGGCACATCCAAACCCCTGACCCATTCTGAAACCAGAATAGCCCAGATCGACTGTTGTCGTCGACATGGCATTTGCCCGTAAGAAGAAATGATGAACACCCCCTTCAACAGTCAAGGCCTGCCACAATCAGTCAAGTCTTTCCAGCATGGGTCACTTGGGCAAGACATAAGCCAACTACTGCGAAAGTAAACAACAATAGCACCACACTATCATTTTTTTAAAAGACACCGTTCCAATTCTAGAAAAATCACTACTTCAACCCAACCAGGGAAACAACAGCCATAATCCAGTACTAACCAACCATCCGCAGCAACACCGCAAACGACAGGGCAATAACATCGCAAAACCACTCATGCACATGATTCCAACTGGCTTTGCAGCACCCATGTAAGACACGGCCTTGCCTTCCATCAGATTACCCTGCTTTCCTGCACTCATTTCCTCCTGCGCCCAGTCTCCCCCGTCCGTAATACTCCGGGGGGAGGGGGGGGGGCCAAGAAGGATCCCATGAGCGCACTTCGGGAGTGAAAAAGTCTCCAAGGAGGAGAAACGTAACTCTGAGCCCCTTGGTTTTTCCGCTAGGGAGCCCCGATGTCAAAACACAAATGCACCTTGTCTTGCGCATGGTTGGTTACGCGTGTTGCAAATAGCTAGTGGGTGTTTCCAACCATATCCCCTCGTCCTGCCTAGTGGTCAAAAGAAACAAGATGCCCACTTGCTTTGAGTTTGAAGGGCGATGGAAAACATGTTTCAGCCCTCTGGAAGCCTGAGGCTGCTCTCCAATGAATCATATTCCATGCGCCCACCTTTTACCACCCCCGCAAAGAAACAACAAGCACAAAACCTGTCTTTAAAGAACCTGGGGCAGGGAAGTGTCGACTCATAGGGCTGCTCAAAAAAACGGAATTCCAAAATGGGTTGCCCGATCGGCAGGTGGAAACATGGACCAAAACCTGCGGTTTGCCCCTCGCTTAATTTTGAGCCACACCCATATTCCTTTTTGGCTTCCGAGCTCGGACAGGGGTGCTCTTGTGCCATTCGGACAATGTTGGCATCCGAGAGACGTCCGGGATCACTAGGAGGCATGAATGTGTTCAAGAGCGCACGCTTTCACCCAACAGATCTGAAAACAAAACATTGACTCTCGAGCCAAGACCAAAGGAAGAGAGTTAAAACAAAAGGCCAGATTCTGTCGATTCGCTTGGGCTGCAAGGTGTCCAATCAAGTACCCATAAAACAATCCACCTTATTGCCCAACACGTCTGTTGAAACACCCTTACATGGAGGATAGGAATGGCTTGGCCATCGCTGGAGTAGGGAACGCCGGTAGGTCTGCACTTGTGGGGGCACTGGCTTTCATATGTTTGCCTGAAACGCCACACGCCAACTTCGGCACGTGCGCCTCTTTGGCCATAACCCGCCGGGTGACGTCTTCGGGCTCGACTCCGGCGTCCGCCGCCTGCGCATTCGCTTCAGCCGAAGGTTCCAGTGACGCCTAATTACACCGGCGTCTGCGCCATGTGCACATACTGCGGCCCACGCAAAAGGTGCATGTCAGCATTAAAGCGCCTATGCCGGCTATTGCAGTTCGTATCCAAAGTGCCTACGCGGCGCGGGTTTTGCGCTATGCCTAAACGTGGAGGACTGTTAGCATGCCACATGGAGAGGTCGCAGCCACTGAATGAGGTATCGAAGGAAGAGCTGCTGCCAAAGGGAAGTCAATGAAGCATTTGCTTCTTGCAAGGCTTTATTTGTCTTTTTGACCCCGCCAAATCCTTCACTATTGTTTTCTGCCGGCTGGCGGTAGCCCAACTCTGAGCAAGTCTTCAGAACTGGCGGCATGAGCCTGGACACGGGGGCGATACGAGCCTGCATGAACGTGAGTCGCGAAAAGTCTACCTGGGCTCCTTGGAAAAAGGCTGAGCCAAAACGCTCTGCTAATCTCACTGCCAGGCTGGCAAAAATCCATTCTGAACAGGCAAGCTGTCAACGCCATGCCTACGCGAAAGGCATGCCTACGCGAAGAGCGTCCTGGCCCGCAGTCAAATTGGCCTTCGCAACTCCGCGCGTGCAGTAAGTTGACGGGCCGGACATATCCACTTTCCTCTTGCCCCTCTGGCGCCACTAAGGCTCAACTTTGCCTTGCTTTTTGTTCTTCTCTTTCATCCGGTCTGGAAAAGGTTACCCTCACAGAAGCACAGCTAATTACATTAAACTTCCTGGGCATGTTTGCGGAGGGGTGGGCATACCACCATCCGCGTCGCCATCTCAGCTGGGCTTGGTAATGACTCTGTGGCGCTGGCTATCTGGTGTGGCCAAGGACTCTGCAGAGTTTGCAGCTATACAAAGCCTGCACAACCAAAACCAAGCAACAATGCCACAAGTGCCAAACAAACTCTGAATCGTTCTTGGCTTTTCGCTTCTCCACCCTATCTATGGTTGTGTGCAGCTTCAGGCATACATGTCGATGTGTGCTTGTACCTCGAGCTTTCAATGATCTTTCACGTGCTTGTTTGTCCCTGCGTCTTGAAGTTATGCAGGCCCAAAGCGGGAAAATACCCACACCGAAACCTGCAGCGGCAAACATGGACACGTTGAAAGCCCCTGCTTCAAAACCAAGGCCAAGCACTTCTGATCTTGCTTGAGGAGTTTTCGGTGTGTTGTTATTTGCCCTAGTTGCTGGAGCTGCTAGCTTTGAACGTGATCATTTGTGCGCTCCCCGCAATGTTTGAAGCCCGATGCCGTTGACATGTGCGTGTGCTCGTGTTGTCCCTATGACAGATTTGAAGCGAACATACATTTGTTCTGTCCACGTGTCGGCTTTGGGGTCCCCCTCAGGCCGTTTGCCTGGCACGAGGAGCACTTCGCAACCGGAATGTGAGCAAAAAAACGGTGCACTACAAATTCAACAAGCCACACAAATCGATCAAACACGCAATCTGTGTAGAGTTTGTGTGGTTCCATGTTTATCTGGGCGCTAAAGGTTGTCCGCAAACATGAGAATCATCCGTCCCTTTCATGATCCGTCCTTTCGGTGTCCTTTGGGGAAATGGGCTAAATAGCACCTAGCAAACTGCAGGAGACTAACTTCTTGACTGGCTTGGCCAAAAAAGCTCACGTTTTTTGTTTGGGGGGTTTTGCGTATGTCAAACAAACACAAAAGCAAACACATCACTTGTTGCTCGCCACCCCACCGGTTTCCCTTCCCCCCTCCCCACAAAACAAGGAAAAACAACAAGCAACAACAAAAAAACATAAATGAAGAAACAAAAACACAAAACAAAATATAAAAAAAGAAAAGAAAACTAACAGCATACGTCGTACGTCTGAGGTAAGCTCCGCTTTCCGGCCTTGAGAAGCCACTCCTGCAGCTGGACGGCGTCCTGGGCGCGCGCCGCCGCCTCCACGGTGATGGTGAAGGTACTGCCGTCAGGGCGGCACCCCGCCTCACCGGGGAAAAAAAAAAAGGCGCGGGGGGCTCTGGTAGAGAGGATAGAATCAGTTGGTACTTGGGAAAACAACAAGGTTCAAAAAGCCCCGATTCCGAAAACGCGCGGGATCTAGGTCCTCCAGTCGAGAGGTTAGAATAAGTTGACCGGAAAACAAGGCGCAGCGGGATCTAGGTCCTCCAGATTTGCGGTTGAATAGAATAAGTTGGCACTTGGTACTCGATTATTTTTTTTCGGTTTTTCGTCTATTTTAGTAGGGGAAGCCTCCCAACCAAAAAAGGGTGAGAAAGGGCACTACTGGGGGAGCTAGGGAGTGTCAAGAGCAAATCCCCCTTTCTCCCCAGCAATTTGTGTGTTGCAACCCTGGTCCAAGGGCACAAATCACCTTTTCAAGTCCTCTTTGTTAGAGCGCCCGAACTGAATCTTCATGGGGGGGGGACAAAATATTCCTCTTGCTTAGGCCTCCTGAACAAAAAGAAAAGCAGAGGTCCAGAAGTGATCGATTCCCGTTGAACCAACAGAGGATAATGTACATCTTAAGCAAATGGACGCTTTCTTTACATGGATGTTAATGGTGGGAGTGTACCCCACCCAGGTCCCACCTTGACTGCGATTCTTTTTTCAACTGTTCCGACTGTCTGAAAAGGAGTGGTTGCCGGGTGCTGTGGCTGTTGGCTTTCTTTGGCGGAATTTATCAGTGTCTCTCATTCTCGCTCGCTCTCGCTCTCTCTCGCTCACTCTCGCTCTCGCTCTCTCTCTCTCTCTCTCCAGCATGCTTAAGAGACGGTCTAGCCATCCGGCTCGCTTTGTGACACTACATCGCCTAGAAGTGGGCGTTTCGGGGCTTCCCCAGAACCGTAGTCTTCCAACCACATGGGACGGAGGCCAAACCTCCCGTTGAGTCATTCCAACATTAGACTGGTAAGTCCGTTGGGTGGTTGAACTTGGCCTTGTGGCAACTCCAGGCAATTCGCAAGTGAACATTGCGGGGTTTTCCCCGGCCGGCATGCCCTGCAGAAACATAGAAACATGTGTCATAGCTGGCGGTGGTAGAAAAAAGATTGTCAAGAAACATAACTATGTGCCTAACTAAGGGGTGCCAGCCTGAAACAAGCAATATACTATATACACCGTTGTACACCCTCAGCTTCAAGGGAATGTCTGCCTGCTGCAAGGTCACCCAGGAAGCAACATGCAGCGGTATCACGTGCACCACTAGCGTAACAAAAACAACAGCTCAAACTACATATCTGAAACCAATGCTTTCACAAAGTGAAACGTGGGAACCCTCCCACTGGAAAACAGCCCCCCTGGCCAGTTAACTCGTCATCCTTGAATGTCAAAGAACTCCTCGAATTGGTGTCAAGCTAGACGCACATGGCCAAGCAAGCAAACATGCCCAGCCTCCCACCCAACTACGTTTGGCAAAGGGGTCCCTTCTTTCCAGGGTCACTCGGTCGGCAACTGGGATGCTGTTCTGGGCGGCTGCTTGTTTTGGTTCCCACCGGGGCAGAACTGGAGTATTGCCATATGCCCTGCAAAATGTGTGCGGTTGCCCTAACAAATGATAACAAATGGCGTGCGGCTACCCAAATACATAGCATGGCTTGTGACCGCCCTTTTAAAAATGGTGCGACAGCACAAAACAGCGTGTAGGGGTTGCTTTCCAAAAGCGAGCCATTCTCAAGGACCTGTTTGGGGCATTGAAGACGCAGCCGAAAGAAAACCGCCCATCGAGAACCCAAGACATTTCAGCAAGGAACGCGGAGGGCTCGCTCGTACCACACATCAGCATCTGAGAGGTTCTTGCACTTGACAGCAGCTCGCATCAAATTGTGGAACCTTAGCAGGTGAAATTCAAAAAGCTATGGCCCCCCGAAACGAAAGCCTCGTTTGAGCTTCCGTTGTGCCGGGCGAGTCTCTAAGGGAGCTTGTCTCAAGGGTTCTTGCCTTGATTTGCTCAACGATGCACGCTATCTTCGTGCGACAGGTGCAGCTACGGTTTCATTCGGAACTCGAACGCGCACAGCTCTAGGGTGACGCTATCAACATGACCAGGCTGATAGTGAAGGGGAACCCACCCCAACGGCAAGTTTGAAAACCAAAGTCAGGTTCACTATAACAGTCAAAGCCATAGCACTTGAACATGCCTTTGCTGCCGAATGCCCACTATGGAAGGCAAGCTTCTGAGCCTCCCTACATTTTGCGTGACAGGCAGGCTCTGACTCTGATGCCCGGATGGTCATGTGGAACTGGGGGAACTGAACCATGGTGGCAGCTCATGTATCAAAGCATGTGCAGAAAAATGCATCGCATTGCCAGTAAACCTTTGAAGGAAACGCAGTGAGCAATAATCAAGTTTGACATGCATCCTTGACTGCCAGCAAAGATTGTTGCAAGTTTGGGCCAGTCTGGGGAGAAAGTGGCACCAACGCACGCCCATTTACATGTGTCAGGAGAAGCCCTGTGATTTACCCCAATTTTCAACGGTGTCCCGGTGGGAGTTGTTGACTCACTTCCTGAGTAGATTGGCCACACAAGGCTTAAACTGTCTTTGTTTGCCGCCAAAACTGTCTTCCCCAAAAGCGACTAAAGTCCAGGTTCCCAGGAAGTGAGTTGATTCACTTACATTTCAGGAATCCCCACTCGGGGTATGCTTTGCGGAATCAGGTACTGGCTGGCTTCATTCCGCTTCCGTGGGCGGTGGCCTCCTGTCTCCTGCTGTTGTGCAAATGGCCTAGGGCTTCCAACGAATGGGACCAGGATCGGTGACCCTTAGCAAGTGCCCCAAAATCAGCTTTAAACCCCCGAAGCTGGATTTGGGGGGTGGTTTTGGTAGAACGGTGGAACCCCCCTTCACATTTTAAGCCCAATGGATCTGCCAGGATCTGCTTCCGGGACATCGCGGCCGTTGCACCCGGGGAACTGAGAATCAGCGACACCGTCTTGACAAACAGAACAGAGGACCCCGCGTCGCATCCTAGAGCACTTGTTCCGCGATGTGAGGCTTGCCAGTTTTACCGAATTTGGCCAAATATGTCAAATGCCAAACTCTACAGGGGGAAACATCTTGACACGCCTAAGCAAAACTAGAAACCAAAAACCTCGAGAAAAGCGGAGAAAGACTCGAGAACGCCAAACAACTCAACATGATTTGGAAACTCTGTGGAAACCAGCTCATCTTGAAAGAGCTCTGGACACATGGCTCTTTTGTTTTGTTGGCTGTTTCAAGTTTCTTGCAGTTTCCTTGAGGTTGAGTTTTGCTTGTCTGTTTTGGTCTTCTCGAGTTTGTTCAGTTCTGTCAAGCGGGAAGGGGCTTCTTGGTTTTCCCATTTGAGGGGCCGGCAACTTGGAAGAAACAATCGGCGCGAGCAGCAGTAACTAGCAGCATGTTCTAAGAATTCACGCAGAGGACCTCGCTGAGTCACTCAGAACTCGAAGTCAAAAGACTTTTCAGCAAGGCGAGCGTATAACTTTCTCAAGACATCAAACCTCAAGTTCACCAACAAGTGCACTACCACAGTCCCCAGTCTCGGATTTAAACAAGGCAAAAACAAAAAACTGGACGGGCCAAAAGGCAAACAGGTTCCTTCAGCCAGGCTTTTTGCCCCGAGAAGAGTCCAAGGGGCGTGGTCAGGTCCGGAATCAGCTCTCCCTGGGACTGGTGGTACCAGCGCTCTGCAGCGGTTAAGTTGCCTGACCGGACTCAAGGATCACTCTGGCCGTCCCAGATCCCAAACAAAACTGGCATCTCTTGTAAATCCCAGGTCCCACCCAGGAAAAAAATCCAGAGCCCCAGATCCCAGACGTAGATCCCAGCGAAAACTACCAAAAGGGAACTTGCCGGACGCATTCGTCGGCATTCCGAAAGGGAACCCATCTCTCTAGCGGAGGGTCCTTCAGCCAAAGGTGTCCTCATATTGGCCGATAGGTTTTAGCTCCGTAAATGCTATGGGTGTGCAGGTTGCGTCAAGGGAACAAAAAAACAAACAAGGTTTTGCAGGGTCCCCCCCCTTGCTTGACACACAGCCCCCCTTGCATGAACCTGCTTTGGGAAATTACCATTCGCTCGCCGGGGCCTTGCTTGGCCGCGGCATTGAGCAGCGTGCTGAAGGTGATGGCGTCGTGCTTGCCGCCTTCCATGCGAGGCTCTTTTTCTAAGGAGGCTGCAGAGCACCCCTCGACCGCTGAAAATTCTCACGGGCCATGGTCACAGTAATTCTATTGTGTCTTATGGGCCATGGGTAGATGAGTAGTCCGCTCTCCGAGTTGTGGTTGAAAAGTCAGTATCCCTCATGTCCTGTCCGACTGAACTTTTGACGCCTTTTCATCAAGAAAGCACATAACACAGGCTTTGGAAGTTTTCCGATTGAACAGGCCAGCGAAACTGCTTTGACAAGTAAAAAACATGCATCAAGTTCGAATGGACTTTTTGTAGAGCTTTTGGGTCCATGCGAGTCACCGGAAAATCCCGATGCAAGACACGTGACTTAGTGACTTCTCCATCGGGGGCTCTTTGTCAGCTGGGCATTCGACCTGCACTTTGCTGGTTAGAAGGCGCAATTCAAGCACACCAAATCAGGAAAGCGAGAAAAAGGTAAGCAAAGCCTGGCTCGTAGCGTTGCCTCCTCAGTCCTTCCCCCTTTCCCAGGAATATAAGGACGCTTACATGTGAAACATCACCAATTCAGCAAATGCATGCATGGCTCTGACATGTCCAATAAGCAAGAGAAACAATTCCAATTCCTGCACCCATAAAGTCAACTCCTATGAGACGAAACTTCACGGGTGAGGTGCCAGGGCTGCTGTAGAGTTGCCTTGATATGCCCACCTCACTTTTCCCTGTCAAAGACGTGCAGCAAACGCGGGCGTGATATGTTTTTATAGCCCAACTGCTGCAGTCCCCTATTCCGTTTGCCAAGGAAGCTTCCCTAGCCCATGTCAGCATCCAAATGGCGAGCTCGAAGTGCCCCAAACATGAGCTCACCCAAATGATCCGAATGGCTTCAGAAGCCTCAGGCCTCATGGGTCGAACCATGGAAAACGGCACTCTTTTTCTTACTGCCTGGGTGGATTTGCTGAATTCAAAGGGTAGAATGCCTCGGAACTCAGGAGTGCGTTTTTGGACACCCTTCAACAATGCAACAAAGGGCACCACAGGCCTAATTAATCCGAATCTGGGCTGTCCTCAGATCCCCTGCTAAAAGTTTATTTTGTATTGGTCTAAATAGAACCCACTAAACCCAACAGCCTAAACACCCGCTGCGGGGACAGCGGGGGCCCGCCAAGGACTGGGCGCCGGCGTCGGCAACGGCGACAGCCTGCGTCGGCGCGTTGGAACCACTTCTCCGCGGCTTCTAGGTCGCCGGTCCGAGCGCAGGCGTCGATCAAGATGCTGAAGGTGAGCTTGTCCGGCAGCACCCTGTCCCGCTCCTGGGTTGATGTGCCTTCCCTTGCTGTGGCTCTGAATCAGCACTGGGAATGAGGAGGGATCAACCATCTCCTTTGCCTTCCATCGTGTTGTGTCATAGTCCTTTGAATGGAGTCCGGGCAAAAAGAGGCTATGCCCATGTATGTCCCTTCTTTGCGGTGCGATTTCACTTCTACCTGGCGACTTCTGTGCGAGGAATGCTTGGCCATTAACAATCCCACCGGGACACGGGTGCAGTAGTAGCAAAACGTTAAAGTCCTAACATCCAAGCAAAACCCTCTTGGCAGGGGTGATACTGTGGATGGACCAAATCCTGCACCAAGTTGAACCACCCCGAACAATTATATATATATATATAAATATTTGTTGGTATTTACAGGGGACTCATCATTCCAGGGCTTCTTAGGCGGTGCGAAATTGATGTCGTCCCGCCACAGAACCTAAGAAAAAGAGAAACCCTGAAAGAACACTCTGCATTGGGCCTGGGGGAGTGGAATGCACCCCCACGCCGGAGTAGAGATGGGTGACGCGGCGGAATAAACCCAGCCGTTGCCCAAAGGAACCCAAAATAAAATGCTAACCCTTTGGGACAATGACTAACCATAGACCAAAACAGAAAAACCAAAAGGTCAAAAGATCGGCTTTGGACGACTGAGCAACTTGTGACAGGGGGCCAAAAGGGGGATTGGTCCATAAGTGGAGCCGCTATAGCTCCAAATGCTGGGCATGGGTGCGGGTGCGAGTGGCTTGAATGCTTCCGAGCCTCCATGCGTGCAAACCAGGCCTCCGCCCTGTTCATTGCCCCCTGCTTGGCCGCAGCATTGAGCATTGCGTTGTACAGCACCTCGGGTACACAGGGCCTTCTGACTACCTTCGGTCCCGATGGCTTGCCACTGAAAGGTACAGCATTTACATGGAGGACAAAAGCAAAGGGCGACAACACTCCAAATTCATATGGTACCCACAAAACCCAATCCCCTTCTGCTGGACACCCTTGAAATTCTACTGAGTTGAGTTGACGGGCGTGAACAAAACATAAAATGAACAACACTTGTCAAAAAAAAGGCTAAGCGGTATTCAAGCGGTACCCAAATTTGCACATAATTAGAAGGGCGAGTCGCATCTAGTGTTTGTCCCTGGCTAATCTTCACTTGCTCTCCCCCAGGGGATTCACCATGCAAAGCTCTTTCAGGAACCCCCGGGCGATTTTCATGGAAGCTCGCAAAGGGACCCCTTTGGAAGACGTGGGTTCCATTTTGCCAGAGGCCTTCCGGAATTGTAATGTTGACCCCATATTAACCTACCCCAGTTTATGAATAGGGGGGTGGCTTTTGAGGCCGCTCCAAAAGTGGTCTGATTCCCCTCTAAACCCCAGGGACACCCCAATATATGAAGCAGGGGATTGATTAAAAGGGGCCTCAGGGAGTGCACCGCCGGTTCCGAGCCGAGCTCGGAGCCCCGGCCACGCTGGGCCGAATCTTGGCGCGGTCCGCCCGGTCAAACCACACCTACGAAGCACGGGGCGGAAATCCGAGATGAGGATCTTACATGGGCAGCCTGCGAACCCGAAAGGGAACAACGGTGCCAGTAAACGAAGGTGCGATGCAAAAAAACAATTGCATCCGTTTCAAATCGTCCTTATAGTGGCAGTTTGGATTTAGCAGGCTCTTATGGCAAATGCATAGCAAGTGGGAAACCCTGCAATGTGCCTAGCAATAGTTTTGGGTGTTGTGCATGGATGTGGCTCTTGCACTTAATCTATACCTATCTTGCACCACGCCGAACGCCATGGCCCTACACTAGGAACCCATCCGTGATCCCGATCGAGTTTGGGAACGCGGCTTCGGCGGTTGCCTTCCCCAATTTACTTGGTTGACGTTGGAAGGGGAGCAACAATTTAAAGTTTAGCAGTTAAGTTGGTGCAACATGTATAATTGGTGCCACAAAGTTTCAAGTTTGCCAACCCAACCGGTAAGACACATCACATAAGAGAACAAACAAACCATATATCCCTCCCCTTCCGGCATCCTGTACGGGAAATCAAACTATGGCATCAAAAAACACATTATCATTGGATAAATCTGGCATACCCCCAACCGCCAATTGCGAAACAAGGAGACGCTTTTTGGGGAGTGGGAAACCCTCCAAACGAACAGGAACTTAGAGGGTGCCATCAAACAAAACCGGAAAAGGTGTGAACACTTCATGGGTGCTAGCAAGGTGGGCTGAAAGAACCAAATGCAAAACACAACATAAACATAAACAAACATAACATAACACAAACATAACATAACACAAACAAACACACCAACAAACCAAAAAAAAAAACAAACAAACAAACAAAGAAACACACAAAGAAACAAGCAAACCAACCAACCAACAAACAAACAAAGAAACAAACAAGCCAACCAACGAACAAAGAAACAAGCAAGCCAACCAACGAACAAACAAACAACGAATCACATTTTCATCCAAAACTAGTTCTGTCGTAGCGTGGCGTCGTCTCTCGCCTCCGCCGCCCTGAGCCGTCCTGTCTTCGCCGCTGCGGAGATGAGGGTTGTGTAGGTGACATCGTCCGGCTTGATGTTGGCGGCGCTGGCCTAAGGGTTGTTTCAACAGCAGCCACTGTAGGTTTGTTGAAAATGGCGGGAAAGATCCCAAGTTGCTGAAGAACCCGGGTGGTTGCTTTCTACAAACGGCACCGTCGCCTGGTTGCTTGTCTAGAATGGGTATGGGTCATAATTAACCTAGATTTCGGACCGCAGGTTTTAGTCCGTGTTTCCATTTACCGGGGGTTTCAGTTTGGGTAGCTATTTCCGACCCACGGCCAAATGTTTTTAAAAAAAACAACAACAAGGTGTTTAAAAACCCAAGTTGGGATTTATATTCACCAGCGGTGTCGCCGACTCTGCCCCCCCTCGCTCTTCCGAGGCACGGCGTCAAACCAGGCCTCTGCCGAGGCGAGGTCGCCAGCGCGGGCGCTGGCGCTGATCAGCCTAAGTGAAACAATGGAAAGCCAAAGGAAGGGCGCTTCCAACTGCCAAAGTCTGCGAATTCACTGGGAAAACGCATCCAGGATCATCCAGGTGCAGTCGGGCTGTCTGTTTCCTTACCTCTTCCCAGACCTTCCTGTTGCACATGTCGGAGGACCCAGGGAGCCGTGCAAAGGCGTTCCAAACCCGGCGGAAAGACATTGTTGGAACCTGAAAATCGAAGTGCAAACACGGCACCGCCCCATCCACGCGAACAGTTTGGGAATGGGAGCCAGTTGAAACAAGGCGCCATTCAAACTAGGCGCATTTTGGAGAAATGGGGAACTCGTGGAGACAAGGCACTGTCCTAACGTGAAAAGTTGCTCGCTGAAAGGGGCACCATGTTTGTGGAAAATAGGCCCTTGCCCTGATACCGAAGGTCTTGATTCTCAACATGAATGCTTTATCACTCTCAAGGTGATTCCCATCGCAGAAATCGACCGGAAAGCCAACTGCGTGTTGAACAGGCGGGGAAAAGCACAACAGGTTACCCATCCCCCCCGCTGTTGGGTTCCTTAACCGTAGCCAGCCAGTTTCCACATGCAACCCCTCCTCAATCCCCAACTTGAAGCAAGGCGCGTGTTGTATGTGACGCGGTCGGGACGTGCACCCATGAAGCCTTGGCTGTGCGGACAAACAACTACGGGTCCTGCAAAGTTCCCCATGCTTCCAGCTAAAAACATCAACCCCTTTGCTAAGAGGAAGTCACTTTAATTCCGCCACCATGGGATAGTGCTCAATTGCGAGGGGAAACGTGGAAAACCCCTGGCCCTCAGGAGCTCGTTCCGCTCCCCTGCTCCAAGCGGCGAGCAGTGCGGTACCACTTCTCCGCTGCGTTCAAATCACCCCGCCTGACAAAGCGCGAGCAAGGTAGGGCTGCATGGGACTTCGGACAAACCGGTCTTCAGAAGAAAGATGGCTTTTGTAGCTGGGGCGACCCAAGAGCAATATCACAAACGTGGCCTGAGTGGTTAGTCCTCCAAAGTGGCTTCGTCCAAGCAAAAGGCAGGGAACCCAAACAGGAATTGGTGCAATCCCACTAAAATAGGAAGCCTATGGGTGGTGAATTCACCTACCAACCAAAAACAGGGGATCCCAACAGTTGGAAAGGCAGGCCCCAGCTCAATCACCTCGCACCTGGCAGGACCGCTCATCAGGGTGTTGAAAATGCCTCAGGAGCCCAGGTGAGCATTCCAACCGGGAGAAGGCCCAACATGAGTGATTGACCTTAGGCCCCGTTCAACCAAAGGCCGCAAAAGAGACCACCCAAATAGTTGTTGCGATTGCCCGCAAAAAACCAGCCATCCCGACCCCACTAAGGAGAGACTCGAGAGACAAGCGCGCTTTTGCTGGGCCTGAACAGCAATGACTTTCCCTACTATTCTCAAGTCCCATACTTCCAGAATTTCTTCACCTCTGGCTACGGTTGTTGACATTTCTGTTGCACTTCTAGGGTTCTTTTTGGAGGGCATTGTCCTAGCACTTGGGGTGCATTTGACGTTTTGTGTTGTGCTCCTTTCCCGCTGCGTCGCTGCATTCTTTGATGGGACGGATTCTTTTAGAGGGGGGCCAACAAACGTTGATGTGCGTTCAGGCCATGCGAAATACCAAGCGCTCATACCGTTGATGTTTCTAGCGTAAGGGTTTTGCATGCTCATGGTCACCAAGCCACATACGATTGTTCTTGTTAAAGCAGAAGGGGACATGCCTTCAAAAAAAAGGTTCCAGCTCCAATCAACCATTTTGAAGGGAGCCATGAATTCAAAGCCGTGCCGTTCGCCCTCAGTGTGTGCAGGGCGAAGCCCGAACCCCGAACCCCGGGATGGCCACTCAAACGCGGAGTTGGGGAAATGGGGCCCTCCGCTTCAATTCCGGGCGCGAAGCTCGCGGAATTAGAACAAATACCCCGAAATAACGTAGATGTATGTTGGGTCCAGCCAAAGGTCAGCGGATCTTCCCATTGTGGCTATGGCATCCTGACCGGCCCCATCCAGCAAGTGGGAGCCGCCCAATCGAAGACTAGGATCTGACATCATGACAGAACGCAAACGGCCAAAAAATAGTCACACTCCATCACACTAATTTCTGGCCCCTTCTATAGCCCTCAACCACCCGGGTTTGACTATTCCCAGGTTTGATCGAAGCTGGACAAGACCTGTGATCAATGGAAAAAACAAGAACTGTTACATTACGCATTGCCCAGGAAGAAAACAAAAGCAACAACGGCAACCAACCAACCAACCAAACAACCAAACAAACAAACACTACAACAACTAAGAAACAAATGCAACCAACTAACCAACCAACTAACCAACCAACTAACCAACCAAGCAACCAACGAGCCAACGAGCCAACGAACCAACGAACCAACGAACCAACCAACCAACCAACCAACCAACAAACAAACAAACAAATAAACAAAAAAAAAACAAACCAAACCAACCAACCAACCAGCCAGCCAGCCAACCAACCAACCAAGCAAGCAACCAACCAACCAACCAACTCAACAAACAACAAAACAAACAAACAAACAAACAAACAAACAACCAACCAACCAACCAACCAACCAACCAACCAACCAACCAACCAACCAACCAACCAACCAACCAACCAACCAACCAACTCAACAAACAAACAAACCAAACCAACCAACCAACCAGCCAGCCAACCAACCAACCAACCAAGCAAGCAAGCAACCAACCAACCAACTCAACAAACAACATAACAAACAAACAAACAAACAAACAAACAAACAAACAAACAAACAAACAAACAAACAAACAAACAAACAAACAAACAAACAAACACACAAACAAACAAACAAACAAACAAACAAACAAACAAACAAACAAACAAACAAACAAGGCAAACAAATAAGGCAAACAATCAAGAAACCAAAACCAACCAACGAACCAACCAACCAACAAACAAACAAGCAAACAAAGACACAAAAAAAAAAAACAAAAACACACAACAACCAACCAACTCAACAAACAAACAAACAAACAAGCAAGCAATCAAGCAAGCAAGCAAGCAATCAAGCAAGCAAAGAAACAAGCAAGCAAGCAAACAAACAAACAGACAAACCAACAAACAAACAAACAAACAGACAAGAAAGCAAACAAGCAAGCAAGCAAGCAAGCAAGCAAACAAACAAACAAACAAACAAACAAACAAACAAGACAAGTAAGCAATCAAGGAAGCAAGCAAGCAAGCAAGCAAGCAAGCAAGCAAGCAAACAAACAAACAAACAAACAAACAAACAAACAACAAACACACGCACAAACAAACAAACAAACAAACAAACAAACAAACACACAAACTAACAAACCACCAAACAATCAACCAAGCAACCAAGCAACCAACCAACCAACCAACGAACCAAACAATCAAACAATCAAACAAACAAACCAACAAGCAAACATAACAGCTCAAAGCAACCACATAAAATAACAAACTAGGCAAGACACAAAGCAAGCTACACCAAAAAAAATAATAATAATCCACAAACCAAAACAAACATCTGGCTTGACGTTGCCTTTCTCAAAGTTGGCCTTAGGCCCGCACGAATGTTGGGCGCTACTCCGGCATCGAGTGCGCGCTCGTACCAGTGTCTGGCCGCGCTCTCGTCGCCGCTGCGTTGTGCGGCATCGATGACCGAAGTGAACCTGGGCCACTGGTCACCACGGAAACCACGATGGCAGTAGCGCCATTTACTTGGCCCTCATCTGTACCAACTCGCCCTAGGTGCTTTGAGCTTGTGTTAGTTTCAACATGCAGCCTAGGGAACTAGGTTGGAGCTTCTTTCATCAGGGCTGGCTTTGGCCGACTTCGTTTGGATTCGCTAGCCGCGCTGCCTTTAGCCTTCTGGAGGACCCACTGGGGAAGGATTTTGCCCAGTTAAAGCCAGCGGACGTCCATTCACGATTTTGCACCAACCTGTCAATCTGCAAGGTTGCAGTTCTGTTCTCACCAACAAAAAGCATTGCTGGCCCATGTTGTTTTCCATGATTTTCCAGGACCCACTTTTAGGTTCCAACTGGGTGTGTTTTTTAGGGGTACCCCAAAACTATGGTGTTCTTATTGGTTTCCCTAGCTAAAACACCTAATACACACGTACCCTCCAAAAGAAAGGCAGACGGAGCTGTTTTTGGGGGGTTCTCAAAGCTGGGGTCTCCTCCAACACTGGTTTCTTTGCCTAGTTTCTTTTTCAGGTAGACTAAATGTAGAACAGAATGGGAAAATACAGTGTTTAGAGTTCCCCAAAACAGATACTCCTAGGTAAACGATCCTGGGCCTCTGTACACATGATCAAGCCTCAAAATGAAGTTCCTACTCTCCCCTCCGCTTGTGCTTCCGCATGGTCTGTTTTGAGTACACCGCAACTTGACTGAAAGGGTCCTCAAAGACCATCTTCCCACAAGGGCCCTCCAGTTGATTTCATGGAAGAGAAGAGTACTCCTTCATCTTTTAGTATCCAGGGGCGGGTCCTCACAAAAGCTGCGCAACCCAATTTCAATGTCTGGTTCTGTACCAGGATGCATGACCACATCCGGGATGATGCCATTCTCCTCCGCAGCCTTCGGAAGAAAGACGCAAATTTTGCACATGCTTGCCCAATTCCAAAACCCGAAGAAATCCGAAGAAGGGATCCCGGGTGATAAAAAGCACATGCGCCCCAGAGAGCGTCCTGATCATGCCTCGGGGAGCTCGTTTCGGGAGCAGCAACTGCATGCCTCGTTCAATAGCTTTCCCGTGGATATTGTTTAAGAGCCGGACCACACCACACACACACACAGAGACGCTGACTAAGATGCAAAAACCGACGATGATCAGCACAGGTAGCACAACACCCCAAACATACAAATATATAATGCTCTCATCTGGCATGTGGATAATTCCAAGTGGGATCCACTTAGCATGCCATGGCGTTTTCACCCGTTCGGGTTCTTAAAAATAGAGCATGTTTCAGAAACGGGCCCTCCAAATCACGTACCCCAAGGCTTCCAAATGCAGCCCCTCACCAAACAAAGAAGCGTTGGTGCGCGAAGAAACGGTCGGCCGGGAGTTCCGTTTCAATTGAACATTTCGGACCTGCTCAGACTTCAGGTTAGACTTTCCCTGCTATAGAGCACAAAGCAGGCTTGCAAGGATTCCGCCAGGGCTTCTGAAGGATTTATCCAAGTCTATGATTCGGTGGACGTGCCACGCATTCGGAAGGACCACGGAAAGACCTGCAACTTCCCGCAATCCACCCTCTTTTCAACAATCATGGAAGTCCGCAGGAGGAAATAGCCTTCCAAAAGCCAGCTGCCATGATTTTTGATGGGAGGGTAGCAGAGTTGCGTGGTTGGTTTTGGTTCTCTTGCTCTCCACATCTACTTGGAACCCACTACTGGCATCTGGTCACTTGCAAAGGAAATGTCACTTCAAAGCAACTTCAATCTGGAGGAATCTGCTTTTGATGAACCAGCAGTCATTTGCAGAGTGATCCCCAGGAACCTCGCAGCCCGTCGCCTGAAACCAACGCTCTGCTACCGTCAAGTTCCCGCTGCGCGCGGCGGCGGAAATGATCGTGGTGTAGGAGACCACCTGGTAACGTCGGACGTCGAGACCCGGAGCGAAAGCCGACCAGCTATGCCCGAAGCTTGCCCCATGTGCCATGTGAATCTATGTGGGCGTGTCCTTTTTAGGGTACACTTCCCCCTTAGGGTCACTCGCTCTTGAAAACCTCCCCGCAGAAGGGCATTTTCCAAAAGGCACACCCATGTCCTCTATGTTCAAAGGCCAAGTGGCAACCGGCCAACTCCATGTCTGGGGTGCCATCTTTCGCTGAGCTTCCGGCATCCGGCGCCAACCCGGACCGCAAGATGCGCTCGAACCAGCCTGAGACAAGTCTCGCCCAGGGAGTTTATTCCCACTGCGAAAACAAACTTGGGGTGGGTTCTTGTGTTGTTCTCTTCATACTGGAAACCTTGGGTGTTTCATTCTTCCTTCACCCACAGAAAGGGCATCTGCAAATGCAACTGCTTGACTCAACTGCTGCTGTTTTTCGTTGGTTGGCCCTTGCTGACACGTTTATTGGAGTGAAAGCCCATTCTGTCAGAAGGATGATCCGGGTCTCATCGACGGATGATCCGGCCACTAAAAAAAACGCTTCAGACTTGCTGTGCTTGGAAAATCATGGGCATGACGAACATCCACTAAACGAATCCTGCAACGGAGAGAAGATGACTCTCGTGTGAAGAAACCTCTGTTGATGTCTTGAACTCTGGGCTCGCCAGGGAACTAGGAGTGCCCATTTCGAATTGTAGCTGTTACGGGCCAACCACTTTGCGACTGAAACCACAGGTTGTTTCAAGGACATGTATGAAACAACGTTTCAATATAAACAAGCGTCTGTATAAATGCGTACGCATTGCCCCAACTATGAAATATACAAGTCAATTGCTGGGGCATGTGCTGGACCTATACGCTGAGTGAGTGCTCGTGCTCAGCCCTGGCAAGCACAAGGAACACGTCAGAAATAGGCCAGGAACGAAGCTCTAAATACAAAATAAGTATGCTAGACATCCTCTGGGTACAATGTCATTGCCAGGGCCACATGATGAATGTGACAGAAGTCTGCTAGCAATACGCTATACGTTTGCATTGAACACATGAATGCGCTAAGCATGTGCTGCAAACAGGTAGAAGGGCCAGCTAGGAAGATGCAACACAGTTGTAAAAGGATGTGAGGCTTACAGGATGTGTTTGCTGGACATGTGACCTGCTTGGTTGTCCCAAACCGTATGCTAGAGGCATGCTGGACATATGCTGGGAAATATCTAGTACAAGTTCTTTGCGCAGTACAGTTGCTAAACATGGTCTAGATGCACACCAAATGTATGTAAAACATCTTCTCAACATATGCTTTGATCCTTGGACTATGCGGAAACTATGAAGGCATTCTCACATTTGCAAGGCTTGTCATACACATACAGTAGAACCATATGACACATATACTAAACACTTGCTGCAACCTTGCAAGTTGCTGGGCAATATTGGCAATGTGCTGGACACATGCTAAAGAGAGCGGGAAGAAGCATCTTCAACTCATTCTCATCAAACATGCCGTGAATATGTTTGGCGACACTGGTAGGCATACATGTGTCATGCGCACTATGTATGCTTGAAATGTTCTAAGAACAGGCTAAACAAGTTTGGCATGGATAGCAGCCACCTCCTCTGAACAACTGGCAAGAACCATTCCTTAGTGAACCAACACAACAACAGCTTGACAAAACAAAAACTCAAGCACGGCCAAACAAGGAAGGCCAACAATTACATAGATTGCGAAACACTCTGACATCTCTTGACACAAATCTCTGACACTTTCTTGGTTGGTCTTCATTTGTTGGCTTCTGAGGTTGTAGTTTGGGTTTGCCAGGCTGCTGGATAAGTATCCATCTATGTAAGGAGGCAAAGTTTTTCAATGGGAAGGACAGAATACTGCGCGTTTCAACAGATAGTTGACTACATGCAGCTCACAATGTTGCGAGACAAACATGTGAAACGCACACCCCTAGGTCATGGCCGAAGGATTGGGTCAACAAAAGGGGGGGAGACCCCAACCTTGGTGCTTGGTCGGGTCACTTGTGGTGACCTGGATGTCCCCATCGCGCGAGGCGGCCGCCATGAGAGAGTTCAGCATCAGCAGGCTGGGCTTGATACCTCCCTCTTCGGCCTGCCTCACACGCAAAACTCCGACTGGAAGTCATCCCCATGGTGGGCTCTGGGGGGGTCTATCGATGAACTTCTCTGTAAGGCTTAGACGGGGATGGAGCCTGACATGTAGAAAGTTGAATAAACCCTTGGCATGCGCCCGAGCTGGCTTCTTTGGCGGCTGCAGTCCCAGTGGGGTAGAACTGACTTGGCTTGTGGTCAGGGTTGCGTACTTGGGGATTTCGTGTTTTTTTGGTTGCTTTGGAAACTCGAGTGAGTTGGCCGGAACCCGGAATCCTTCTGCAGGATGGTCGTAAAGATCATGGCTTGGGGATCCGATCATTCGAAGAACCCATGCCATGAGAGCACTTTGTTCCGACAGTGTCAAGAATGCACATTTTAGGTTTGGGGGTTTGAGTATCACAAATCCAAACCGCTAGTTGATGTTGGTTCAGATGAATCAACCCGGCGGATTCAGAAAGGTGTCTGGTGCAAAAGGGGACAGGGTCACAACAATCAACCAGGAGTTGTTCATGCCAGTCATCTCGACAATGTCAGAAAAGTGCTCTTGCCAATGCACCTTTAAGCCTCTAACCATCATTCATACCTCTAATGCATGTCTGGTTTGACTGCTGGAGCACGCGAGAAACGGATCACTGAGGTGCGGACTTGAGCCACGCCTCCGCAGCAGCAAGGTCCCCTTTCCTTAAAGGTCAGGTGGCGCTTTGGGCTTTGGGTTGCTTTGGGTTGCTTTGGGTTTGCCGGGGTCGCTGAGTTTCCCCAAAAAGTTGATCAATTGATTGGTGGTGTCCATTAAAACCGCCACTTTTGGAGGTTCCAAAAAGGGAAATGGAGGAAACCGGATTAGGGTTGCTCGGGGTCGGGGGCGAATGACTCATGTTTCACTCCTGTCATGATGTGACTTCAAAGTACGCCACGAGTGCGAGCCAAGTCCAGTGTTACGCTCCTGCACGAAACCGCGGTCAAACAACACAATTCTGCAAACAACGATTCGGAATGCTGCTGTTCAGGCGACAACTGCGTGCTGCACGCACTGAATGGATCAAAACTGCCAGGTGCTCGACAACCTAAACCCAACACCCCAAACCCTACGGCTAAACCCTGAACCAAACCCTATCCCCGAAACCAGAGCCCGAAACGTGACCCTAAACCCTAAACCGAAGGCCAAAAGAAACCCCAAGCCGAAAGCAAACCACAAGAACAAGAACAAGAGGGCTAAGCCGGTAGAGTCAAATTTCGTGAGGGCCAGCCCGCTGACCTGCATGCTGCACTATGTGCTGCGCGTAGTCTTTACCTCGTGTTCCATTGGTTGCTTTGCTTTTGGCCTTTTGTAGACCTACCTCTTGCCCACAGTCTGTTTTGGCAATGATCAAAATGATCAAACAACAAGAAAATCTTGCATGACGCAAAAGACGATGCCCAGCTTTTATGCTATGATGAATGCACCAAGAACAACTTGAAAGTTTGGAAAGTGGACACAAAGTGAATCGGCTCAAGCCCCTCAACTCAATCACACAGTCTTTCCCCCGCTGTGTTGGCCTTGCGGGCAGGTTCTGTCTTGGGAACCTTACCACCGATGCTGTTGGGGACACTACTTGGGCAAGAAAACCCGATATTGTTCTCTTCACATGTCACCCCATCAAAGGGGAACTCACTTTGCAGCCCAAACGTACGTTGCGTGACTCGCTTCTTCTACCAAAAAGGAGCGAAATGGGAATCTTGTATTTGATCTGGAACCGGGCCCCGCCACACCGAATGCATTTTTTTGGAAGGCTGGACAAGAGGTTGGCCGCCTGAATGCTTGACGGTCTCTTTTGCGCCCGAGTCACACCCCGAGTCACACCCTAAGGTTCAACCCCATGCAAAGAATGGTTGAGAAAATCTGGATGATCTCAATCCTTACGTGACGAATGGTTCTATAAGCCTCCTTTGGCCTAGTGGTGGATTGAACCCCCAAACACCCCCCCCCCCGCCACCAGACCTCGGCTCCCGTCGCGCGTCTTCGAGGCGGCGTTGATGAGGGCTTGGTAGGTCAGCTGATCCGGCTCGCAGTTGGCCGCCCTCGCCCGGGCAAACCAGATCTCCGCCGCGGCGGTGTCCCCTTTCCTGGCGGCCGCCAGCATCCTGGGCGCGACCGCTTTAGGGGGAACTTCCCTTCCCATTCTTTCCAAAAATCCACATCTTTCTAGAAAACCACCACAAACCTTGGGAGAATGGCTGGTTATTGAAAAGAACGATGGCTGAAAACACTGGGAAACCAACCCCTAGAGCTTTATCTAATCAAAAATGGGTGTGAATCGAATTCATTGGGGGCGTGTGGGGATTTATGTCCAACAACTTTTCACGGGGTTCCGCATTCAAATTCATAGCCAAGGGTCGCATGGGGATTTATGTCCAACATTGTCCAACCACTTTTCAGGGGGTTCCGCATTCAAATTCATAGCCAAATGCCTATGGAAAGGTCTGGATACATACTGTAGATACAACACATGCCCTTGGCTTGCATATGAAAACCCAAGGCATGCGACGGCTTTCTGAATACAAACTCCCATTTTTTCTACAACATATCCAGCTTACAATGGTTTTTTGGAGAGAGATAAAGTCGATGCGGAAAGCTATGAGTCGATGAGTCTCCCCTCATGTGTCCGGCCATTTCCAGTTAGACGAGGCCCGGGGAAACGGACTCACAGCTAGCATGGCTCAGACTCAAATGCCTATGGAAATTCTTGGTTGACGTTGGGTTTGGGGAGCAAAAATTCTCAAATTTTAGCAGTTAAGTGGATTTGGTGTTCAACCACTAAACCGTAAACCACAATAAGCAAAAATGTAAAATGTTTCCCAACAACAACCATGGAAAAGTCTAAACTCGGTTGCGAAATCTGCTCCCCTGCCAAAAGTTTAGCTAGTGGTTTAATGCGAAACACCCATATCAACGTTGGCAAAAAGTTAAAGTCCTACCATCCAAGCAAAATGCACCAAAGAAAAAATATGCGGTGGTAAAACAGTTGTCTGGGTAGTGCAACATTCTGTAGGTCTTGCACGTGGCAACCCAGGGCCGCTGAAGCCGAATCGCACACGTGGAATCCCTACACGGCCGACCCAACTTTGTCCCTGCCTCTCCCATCTTCGAGGCCAGCTTTCAGAATGAGATTTTGCAAACGCAAACACACAAAGAAACAACAAACCCAGTGCTTCCAGCCAGCTGTAGCAGGCAATGGCGTCTCACCTCTGGGTTGTGCATTCTGATTTCCCCTGATTGGCTGTCACACTCAGGTATGCAAAAAGATTCGTCACCCGCCTTTCCCGGCCGGCTTTGCCCCCAATTGAAGCTTAGTGCGCGGGTTGATTCCCCATTATTTTCAGCCATCGTTCTTTTCAAAACCAGCCTTTCCCCATGTTTTGTGCGGTCTTCTAGAAAGAAGAATCCCTGGAAAGAATGGCATTGGAAGCTACCCCTAGGTTCTAGATGCTTTTTGCAGCCAGGCGTCATGGTGTTGAAGGTCTCCAGCGTCGGCGTGATCTTTTGGCCCAAGGCCAGGTAGAGCTTCGCGGCCTCCGAGAAGCCCGCGGAGCCCGTCTTGGCCGCCTGCGCGCGCAGGCGCGCGCGCGCGCCACGTTTCCGCGCACCCCAAAAGCCGCCTCACCCGGGCTGTGGGAAATGGAACCCACTTCTGTGATACAAGAGAAAGGTCCCCCAAAGACTACCCCGCCATTTAAAAAGGGGAGTCCCTTGTGTCACAGAAGTGGGGATAAACCCCTTGATCCCACAACCCTGCGCTTCACCGCTCACCCGGGGTTGAATCCTAGACTGGCAAAAGGACGAACACAACCAGATCATCCCATGGTTCTTCAAAGCAATCGCTGTACGGTTGCCATGCCTCCGCTCAACTTTACCGAGCCTCAAAGTTCGCGCCCAATTGAGCAGCAGGTCAACCAGCCCCATGATTTCACCATCAACATCACCCCCGTTCAGTGATACGTTAAAGGGAAACCACCGATTCCAGCTTCTGACGTTTCATTCCCAGAAAGAGTTTTATTTGTCTCCTTCTGGCAAGTGACTGCAGTGGGAAGGGTCTCGGAAGAATTTTAAAATCCGAGAACCCACAAAAATGGTTGGCTTTCTTGTGTTTTGCTTTAAAACCAACCAACAGCCGCTGTTCCCCCGAAAATTGGATACATCCAAATTTAAGCCTTTTGCTTGTAGCAGCAACTCTTCATCACCAATTTACCCCAAATTTACTCTGAATTGTCCCCGAAATTACCCAATGTTCCCCAAGTTTCCTCCCTATTGAACACCAATGTACTACAAATTTCGCTAAAACTACCCAACATTTACAAACAAATACCCCCAATTTACTCCACAGTTACCCATCAATTTAACCCCCAAATTTACCAAGTTTTTTGCAATGTACCCCCAATGTTCCGATTTTGTGGGTGAATTGGGGTACATAACAAGTCCAACAAATTGGGGGTAAATCCTAGGTTTCGCAAAGGTATACGAAGACTTACCACAAATTTGACCCGTTATTTACCCCCCAACTTGCCCCAACAATTTGGAGTAAAGTACCCCAAAAAATGGTAAATTGCCCACAACAATCTTAAAAAATACCCCCGATTTACCTACAATCCCCCCCCGCCCCCCCTTTTGCTCACAATTTGCCCACAATTTACCACCAATTTGGGGGTGGACGTTCTCCAGAATCAGGGCCAAATTCGATGCGAGTCGGTATGCCTGATGGATCCCCCTCCCCCCCGCATTGCCATAAAGAAGGCATGCAGTTCATTGATCGATAGAGGCAAGCCCCAAATCCAAACGGTCATGGGTCAAAATCCAAATCGTACCCCCAGTGAACATCCCAATCCAACCACTAAAACAGACTAAAATGGGGTGCACCGAAAACCCCAAAATGTTACCATTGCTGTTGACCCACTGCCACATGGTGCCAAGCCTGAGCCAGGAGCTGGTTGAAGGACTCGGTGGGAAGCACCGAGGACTTGTTGAACCAGAAGGCGGCCACCTGGGACGCGTCCGAACGCGTTAGAAATCTTCAGATGGCCTGGGAGGGGTTTCAAGCAATGCCACTTTGGCAAACCTCACATCTGGGCTTGCCAAAGAATCAGCCAAGCACACCTAAGAAGTACAAGCTTCGAATTCGGCTTCCTCTCCCGGTCACCGACCCCCTAAGACCAACACATGCCACCGAGTTTCACCAACGATCCCCCCTCCCTCACAACCGACTGACCCCCTCGTTGCCCAGCGATTCGTCGCTCGACCGACCGATCCGTCGCTGCGAAGTGGCGGGGACCTCCTTGCGGCGCAGGGCCTTGGCGATGAGCTGCCGGAAATTGGGCTCTGAGGGCTCGAAGCCGCTCTCCACCAGTCGATGGTACCTCGAAGGCCCCTCTCAGGCAGCTTGAGGGGAGGTACCCTGGTACCCTCCTGCTCGTTCCACCAGATTCCTAAGGGAAATTCGTCTTCCAGGATCCCGTTTGAAACGTCAGGTCCCATGTTAGTGGACAGGAGGGTACCCAAAAATGACTAGGAGAACCGAAGAAGGACACTTGTGACCCTTACTCGTTCAAATTTTGATTATTAAGATTTGCCACCATGTCCTCCGGGTTCCCACGGTACTCCTGTAGCCCGCTGCCACACCAATCTTCTCTGCTCATCTGGAAAATGCACACTTCCTAAAGGTACCCATTCATACGCCTTTGATCACCTTTATGTAGCCGTGCATGGCAAGAATGCCCGCGAACACTTCCCAACATGTCCCAAGGAGTTAGGTGTGTGAAGGCATGTTGCGCCCCCACCCTGAGCTTTGAACTGACGGACTCTCCGCGGTGCCTTCGAAGTGGGAAGTGGATGCCTAAATATTGAAACCAGCAGACAACCGACCTGGAGGGATCTCCATTTTCGAGACAGACCCAACATGACGCTCAAAGGAAGTCTTCATCAGTGAACTGTTGAAGCTGTTCGAGCCCCAAGATCACGAGGCACCGTCAGTCATGTGTCCCAGTCACAAGACCAGAATCAGCCCCATACCCCAATCCGGCCACCAGTTGAAATTGATTGAAGCCAGAAGTACCTCGAACTACGTCAGTCATGGAACCAAATGCATTCCCAACCAACGCGCGATGAAATACTGGATTGCTAGAAACGCCGAAGGTGGTGGAAACATGGGCATGCAGCAAAACAGGGGACCCAAAATACACACAAACAAGATCTCACAAAGGCAGCTGAATCACACCAAGTCTCCACATCTCTGCGGCCGAGGTATTTCCTGGACGCTTCGCGTTCCGGCGGCCAGCCGCATGAAACAGGCCCCCCCCCCCCTCAGTACTGTGGACTTTGTCAAGTTTGCCGTGAGAGAGCTTCCAAGCTCATCATCATTTGCCCAGACACATGCCGAGCTTCTCAAGAGCATCTCGCAATATCTCGCATGAGATGTCTCAGGAGCACCCAGGAACATTTGAGAAAATACCCTGTGCCCAAATTAAGACAAGGCCAGTTGGGTCTGTCGACAAACTAATGACTTGCTCAAAAGGCCTTCGATGCTGCTCAGGCGCAAATGGGTCAAACGCGCAAAGAATCGAACTGAACATAGCATCCAAACAGCAGTCAAGCCATCCGTACCATAAGCCAGCCCTAGCAAGAAAAAGCAGCCCTAGTAGTTGCATTAAATCAACAAGTTCATCCTCACGTGCCGACTCAACAAACATGCGATGCTGAGTTTGTTTGCACCTTTGGCGCCACAAACCTGGGCGAAAGAAGACGCTTCTTGACTCCAATGGCCCCTGCGTGTTTTTCTGCGTGTCCACACAGCGACCCCACTGGAAACTGTTGAGCCCTTCGATTCGCAGTCGACCGTTTTGAAGCGGACCAAACAAACAAGTGGTTGAGGGAGCCCTTTCCCAAAAAAACATCGGAAAAAACAGGCACCCTTTTTTGGTTGGTCGAAACATAAGGGCACCCTTTGTTGTTGGTTGAGGGAACCCTTTCCCCAACAAAAAGTCGAACAAAAGGGCACCACCAGGCAGCAGAGAGCTTCAGGGCACCACCACCACCAGGCACCACCAGGCACCACCAGGCACCACCAGGCATCACCACCGGGAAACTAAAAACAAAACCGCCGCCAGCCGAGCGTCGCCGCGCCGCCGCGGCCACCAGCTTCTTGAGGCCCGGAGCCTCCGGCGCCAGGCCGAGACTCTGGGCGCGCTGGTACCTCGCGGCGGTCGGACGATCCGACGGCTCCCACCGCGGAAACGGAGGGAGCGGTCGGAACTCGGATAGCTCTGAACGAGGTCTCTCGGCTCCGTGTTTGATTTAGCCCCCAGGCACGGAGTGCCTCGGTCCAAAAATGAGGCTGTGCTTAAACTTGGTTGCTGTTGACCCCTCTGCGAAAAGTTTGACTGTTTGTAAATGTTATGAAAAACCCATGATTTCCTAAAGACAATAAAGTCTAAAGATCCAACCCAATAGCAGTCAAGTAAATGCCCGATTGGTTCCATGTCAATCTGCAGGAAGATGATTTCGGCAAGCTAAGTCTGGCCATGGCGCCAGGACTCCGCCGCGTTCAGGCGCCCTCTCTCGGCCAGAGCCTCCAGCACCAAAGTCAGCGCCTGCGATTGACTGACCACGGGCCTAAGGGTCCAAATGGCCGCAATCCACGAAATGGCACCCGGTTAAATGGAAGATGATGGAAGCTGCTCAAAAAATGCAATCCCCAAAATGGCACTCTGGTAAACGGAAGCAAGGACTCAACCTGCGCAACCCCAGCAGGCAAAGGCGCTACCTCCCCCCAAATGTTCGGAAGAAACGGTCGCAGCAGCGGGTGCACGACCCCGCCTTGGCGCCGACATCCGTGCTCAAGACGCCTGCGGAGGTTTAGGGCCGTCAGCAATGGAACTTAAGAATGATGCTGTGGATGGACAAAATCCTGCACCACTTTGAATCTATGGGAAGCAATGGCTTGTTGGCATTTACAGGGCAATCATCCTAATTAATTTTGCGCACAGAGATGGAGAAAGAATGGACGCGTGCGAGAAAACATGTGCAGGCGTTGGCCTCCGGCTGGCTGAATACATGAATGCAGATTTTGTGGCAGGCGCGGCACTTTCGCAAGGTCAGGTACGGATTTCCTCGCAGATGGATGTCGAGAGATAGAAACATAGCTTAGCTGCATCTAGGTGGATAGATAGACCGTTCTTCTGTTTTTTGGACACTTCCGCCAACCGGCTTGGTCGGCTCTGGGCTAACATATCTTTTTTAGAGCCCAAGCAGTTGTGAACCTCGCTGATTGCGGCGGAAGGCTGGGTAGATTGTCAAGGTGAACAGGGTGCATCATAATTGAATAGTAGGGTCGGTCTGGGAGGTTCAAAATGGACTGTTGACAAAGCCCAATCCATATCAAGGGATTTTCGCAGCCCAAGACGAGTAATTGTCTTGCGCATAGCCCATGAACCATCGATCAGGGGCAGCTTCGACAACCATCGCAGCCTTCACCTTGAGTCAAGGCTCCCTGCAATGAGTGCAGATTGTGTAAAATGAAGCCTTGTCGGGGTGGGAGCATCCAAGGGTTCCTGCCCCTCCGACCAACATTGCCTCCCACTTTCCTCCCCCGCCTTTTTCAACAAGCAGCCGATTCAACAGCGAAGCTGCTGGGATTTTGGGAGGCTATGGCTGCCCCGACCACATAAGCAGAGGTCTAGCGCACGTTGAACTGCAGTAACTTCTGGGCAGTTGTCTGACGAGACCGCCATTGGGATCCCCACCACCAATCTTTGCGGGCCAGGTATCCTTCTGGGATCCGGAAACCGCCCGCATGGGGTGGTGCGGCATCGGCCCACACACTTCTGGGATCTGGATAGTGTTGACCCATGAATGAGCCGTGCGGATTTTAGGGGTGTTCCCGCCGAATGATCTGGATCTCCAGGTTCGCACTCGTTTTTTTTCACCAGGGGATCACTTTCCAACCCTTGGTATGGTAGCAGCAAACTTTGCGCGTTTGCTTTTTGTTCAAACCCCTACTACACATGAACAGAAAGAAGCGAACAACCTTAAAAAAAACAACTGCCAACAGCTGTGAAGAAATCCCTCCACCTTCCCTTCGCTTTCTGCGGCGCCTTGGAACCACTCGGGGCCCAAGTCTTCGAACTGCACCGCGGCTTCCAAGAGACTGGCCAGGGTGTAATTTGACGGGCACAGCCCCGCGCCCACCGCGTGATCCTGGGAGCGGCGGGTTTTTTTGTTTTGAGGGCAGCCCCTTTTCAAGAAATGGGGGGCGCGGAACGAAAATTGGCTAAGTTTTTGGGCGTCCCCAAACTATGTTGACACAATGGGCCATGGGCCAGTTCAAAAATCAGAGCCGATTTAGGGCATCCGCTTGTAAAGCAGGCGGCCACTCAATGTATCCCTTCAATAAGTCGGTGGAAACAGCGGAGATCCTCGCTTTGACATTGAGGGCTTGGCTCCAGCAACGCCCAGTTGCAACCAGCGCACAGTGTCCCGTTGAGTGTCAACGTCCGAACAAGGAGTTTAGGGCTGCCACACAACTGGGACCCTCAACAAGACAACGCAGCTTCTGCGCAACAACTGGGGCATCCCAAAGCATCTGGAAGTTCATAAAACCATAGAAAGGGATCGTGAGCTACTCTCCTCAGGGCCGAATCTTGTCATGGTCACGATGCCGTGCGGTGAAGAGAAGAAAGCTGAACCTTAAAACTTTCATGGACTCCCAGCCAGGCCAGGCCCATGGCCTCTTGGAACTCACAAGCCATGCAAGAAGAAAGTGCAGGGATGGTCGAAAAAATGCCGCCAAAACCGCATGAGCCATTCCAAAATGCATGTTTGGACAAGCCTGTGACCCCAGGTTCAAGTGCCCCAGTTAGCTTACCGGCGCCTCGCACACGAGCAAACCAAGAGCCGGGGTTGGTTGTCATGCTTTTTGTCATGGGGGCTGCGGGGGAGGGAGGGGAGGGGGAGGGAGGGGAGGGGGAGGGAGCCAAAATAAGGCCTTATTAAGCCCTTAATAAGGCTTTATTTAGGGTCTTTTGGGGCTCCCTCCCCCCCTCCCCTCCCTCCCTCCCAGCCCCATGATTTTGAATTGCCTTGACCAGGACGGCTTCGGGTACTTCACCCCATCTCAGCCGAAATGTTCCAACCGGCGAGGCGCGTACCACTGCCGCGCCAGAGGGAGGTCCCCTTTCTTGGCGTTGCGCCGAATCATGGCCTCGAAGGCTCGCCGCGCAGCGCTATCCTGAACGAAAGAAGGAAGACAAATGCAAAACCAGGCGTGTACATACACATCTGTAAAGATACACATAGACACATAACAGCATATGAAAACAGATGTGTACACACGCGTTGCACGCGCACACAAAGGTACACATATGTATGTAAATAATCTGCCGATATGTGCGCGCGTGTAACCAGGGATTGGCAGTAGAAACCAAGTTACTTCAGGGTAAAACACCGATGTCAGATTTCTTCCATACGAGCCACTGATTGATGATGGGCTCAGGCCAACACCACTTTTCTCAGCAGGACGCGGAACCCACAAAAAGCACAACAATGGGTTGACACAAAGCAGATTCCGCCGAAAACACTGGCAAAGCCAGTCCTGCAGCATGCGCGCGGTGATCTCCTCAGGCTGCACGCCAGCCTGGCCCGCGGGAATGTCTGGGCAAGATCTAGGTAAGGTCGGCATACGTCAGGCTTTCCAAGGAACCTTGCAGGCTGTAGCTCACCTTGTTTCTGCCAGCGCTCCTAGTTTAGACACCTAGTCATTCACATATGCCCATACAAAAACTCGGTTGCCCTGCTAAAAGTTCACCTTTTAGCGGTTTAATAGAAAACCCATTAGCTGGCAAAAAGTTAAAGTCCTAACATCCAAGCAAAACGCACCAAAGAAAAGCTCAATGGTCCCAAGTGTTCTGTGATGTTAGCATGGCTTCATCGAGCGGGGGTCACAAGTCAAGGCGCAGGCTGGCCAAGCCGCCTGAGCCATTGACGACTTCTGTAAGCCTCGAAGAATGAGCACAAATATCTAAGGGACACTTCCCCATTCTTTCCAGGGATCCTTCTTTCCAAAAAACCATCAGAACCCCAGGGGGAACGGCTGGTTTTTGAAAAGAACGATGGTTGAAAAGAATGAGAACATCTTGTAGAGTTCACTCCCCTGGCTAAAGGTTCTCCGGACCCAACGTACCTCATAGTTTCAGGGCTTCCCAGAATGACTTGGCAGGGCGTCCCGTGAAAACGACCAAATTCGGATAAGGTTGATGGACCATGGGTCGACCCAAGTTGACGGGGCCACCTAGAATGACTTTGCGGGCCGTCCCTTGAAAACCTGATAGCCACAAAATTCAGATCGGGGGACCATGGGTTGACCCACCCTGACCTCGCCTCCATGGCCCGGTCGATCCACCTCTGCGCTGCAAAGTCGTCCTTGCGCTGCAGCGCGCAGCTCACCAGCCGGAGGCACAGCCCGGCGTCGGCCAACGTCTGGCAGACCTGGGCTCACGGAGACATGGGCCATGGGTCCGAAAGTTTGAATAAGGCTTACCCCTTAAAACTCCAAGCTTTGGGGAAGTTAATCTTTTACAGACATATAGCCCATGTTACCCAAAAAGTTGAACAGTTTTTTTTTTTTTAGAGGTAAGAAGGGACATGGTGGACATGTCCAGGGGATGCATGTTTCCACCAACCACTTTGGAGGGGGTTCCCTGTTAAACTTTGGCGTTTCCTTTAGGCAAGGCCATTCTTAAAGGGAAACCTTCTACGTCTGGGTGAAAGCACCATGTAATGCAACAGGCGCCCAGGTGCAACGGGTGCCCTGGACAGACACAAAAAAGGGCTGTCGGATCCCACTGAACTGGCACGGTGCTTTTTCAGTCTCAAACTGCTTGCCGGTTCGCAGCAGAAAGCCATGAGTTGGAATGACCCCTAAACCATTTCCTATGGTTTCTTTCAAGGGAATCCCAAACGGTTCATTCCCCACACCCTGGGTCACCCCCTACTGAAAATGTTGACCAGGGCCCCAGACATCCCGAAAGCTCTTGTTTGGATAATTTGTTGACTGGCAGCTATCCTGGGGCACACTCTCGGTTGAAAAAGGGAATCGTCACTGTTTTAACTTGTTTGATGTTCAATTGGCCACCCCCTCAAAACCAAGAGTGTTTAACCTTATCCAAGGGACCCCCCGCCAAGGGTATGTGTCCAAAATTAAACCACCAGGAATCGGACCGCAGGTTTTAGTCTGTGCTTCCAAACTGGGGCAACCCATTTTGGATACCTAATGTCTCATTTCCTGAGCGGATGGCCCCAAAACAGTCCAAACTTGTGGTGTTCCGCTAAAATGGTCCAAGCCCAAAAACTGACAATTTGTCTAAAACTAGGGAGCTTGCGTTTTTGACGAGTCACACTCAAAACCCAGTCTCAAAATGGTCTACCCCCAAACCCATGTAAGGAAAATGCGACCGCAACTGTTTCTGTTTCTGTTTCTGGCAGGGCCTGCCCTAACCTTCGTCGCCAGTAAAACACAGTGTGTGTGTGTGTGGCATTTGTCATGTTCCAACACCCGGTCTCCAGGGTTTGGTTTTGAGGATTTGGCTATACCAAACGGGGGCGTTTTGCTCGACCGCCCACCAACCACGGGATTTTGCGCGCCTGGAAGTAGGTCTCCGCCGCTGGCAGCTCGCAGCTCCGGGCTGCGCTGCGCAGCAGCGCGGCGGCGATGTCGGGGGACTCCAAGGACCGCAGCATCCTTCGGCTTGTGGGGTGGGGGGGGGATGGGGGGAGGGGAGTGGAGGGAGAGGGGAGGGAGGGAGGAGGGGATTGAGGGGGTTGGGGGAGGGAGGGGTTGGGGCCCCCCCCGGCGCTTTCTATAGTTTCCTCAAAGGGTGGACTTGAGGAGCTTCATCGAGCCTTGTCAAAACTGGCTCCTCTCTACAAGGAGCTAAAGGTCAAGCAAGCCATGAGGTCAAATGCAGGTCCAAAACAGGTTGAGGGTTGGAAAAACGGGTTCCCAAACTTCCGAGGTTCCCAGACCCAAGAAGAATACTCGCGTGGAATACTTCCATCTGGCATCATGATTGCGCCTATCCCTCCGAAGGGTCGGCTTTTTTTGCAAAGACTACAAA